AATCATTAGAAATATTGTAAGACTTATTTCGACTTTGATCCTTTATCATTATGCAATAATTTGAGGTGAATCATTAGAATTAATTTAGGACTTATTTCGACTATGATCCTTTATCATTATAGAATAATTTGAAGTGAATTATTAGAATTATTTTAAGACTTATTTCGATTGTGATCCTTTATCATTATGGAATAATTTGAGGTGAATCATTAGAATTAATTTAGGACTTATTTCGACTATGATCCTTTTTGATTATGGAATAATTTGAGGTGAATTTATCATTATTTTACAATTTATTTGCATTGAGATTCGTTTCGGATTTTTTAGGCGATTCTTCATCGTTATTCTACGTTATATTCGTACTAATATCCTCATCACTTTTGGCTTTTTTCTGATGTTTCCTTATCAATATTCTACTATTTGTTCAGACTATTATCATCGCCCCTTTGACTTTCTGAAATGTGCCGTTATCTATATTCCACAAGTTGTTTTTACTAATAATCTCATCTCTTTTCGTTTTGTTGAGATGAGTCATTATCACTATTCCATGTTTTATTCGGACTAATTTCCCCATTGCTCTATTATTTTTTGGTTGAGTTACCCAGGTATTGTCTGACTGTCATTTTCGCCTTTTTCTGTTTTTATCACGACTTTTCTGCCAACGCATTCTTCAATCTACGTCGCATGTTTTCTTCCACTAAATCTAGAATCACATCTTGTAGTACTCTCGGCCAAATCGATAAATTACATAGTTGAGGAAGACTGGAGAACACAGTAACAGAAATGCAACAATAAAAACAATTGTGATCTAAAAACATATTACTTAGATTTGCTCGAAGAATAAAATTTACAACGACTTGCTTCCCGCCAGTTTATTTCTTGAATTTCGGATTTTTCTATATTTATGCAAGATAAAATCGTTTAGCAATAAGTAAGTTTAGTAAATATTCATAAAAATAAAGAATGGGAAACATTTATTGGCAAAATTATGTATGCATAAAAAACGCCTCGGGATGTTTTGAGTTGTCTCCCTTGATTACAGTTTTCTCCTTTTTTTTTCTTTTATTCTTTGCATTTATACGTTTTCTGTCTTTCGACTATTTTTTCTTTCTCCTGAGGATTTCATTTTTACCTTGTGTAAAAAATGTTTTCCTTCTTTTTAACGTGTTTTCTTATTTTCTTCTTTTGTTTTCTTCTATTTTTTGCAGTTATTTTTGTCTTCTTTTTTAATCTCTAATTTTATTTTTTGGTTTTAAAATAATTTTTTGAGAGAAAAAATAAAATATATTCTTTTTTCTTGTTTTCTGTTTTTTCTTTTAATTTTTGTCTCTTTTTCTTCCTTTTTGCCTTTTTCTTTTAATAACATCCGTTTTCAGTTTTCCGGTAAAGGAGAAGAAAAATAGAACACCACCTTGTTTGCTTTCTTCTTCCACTTCTTCTATCAAGCCTTCTTCTTCTTCTTCTTCTTTAAAGTCTTCTTCATGTACTTTCATTTTTTCCTTCTTCGTTTTCTTCTTCTTCGACATTTTCTACTTTCATGTGGTTTTCTTCTTCTTTCAAGTTTTCTTCTACTTCTTCTTTCAAGACTTCTACTTTCATGTAATCTTTTTCTTCTTTCAAGTCTTCTTTTGTTTTCTTCTTCTTTAATCTCCCCTACTGCGTTCTTTCATTCTTCTTCTTCTTCTTCTTCTTCTTCTTTAATCTCCATTTTCTTCGTTGAAGTATTTTCTTCTTTCATATTATCTTCTTCTTTCATCTTTTCGTCCTTTTCTTCTTTTTCTTCTTTCATCTCTCCCACTTTTTCTTCTTCTTCTTCTTCTTTCATCTTTCCTTCTACTTTTTCTTCTTCTTCTTTCATCTATCCTTCTACTTTTTCTTCTTCTTCTTCTTCTTCTTCTTCTTACATCTCTCCTTCTACTTTTTCTTCTTCTTCTTCTTCTTTTTCTTCTTCTTTCATCTATCCTTCTACTTTTTCTTCTTCTTCTTCTTCTTCTTCTTTCATCTCTCCTTCTACTTTTTCTTCTTCTTCTTCTTCTTCTTTTTCTTCTTCTTTCATCTATCCTTCTACTTTTTCTTCTTCTTCTTCTTCTTCTTCTTCTTCTTCTTCTTCTTCTTCCATCTCTCCTTCTACTTTTTTCTTCTTCTTCTTCTTTCATCTCTCCTTTTTTCTTCTTCTTCTTCTTCTTCTTCTTCTTCTTCTTTCATCTTTTCTTCTACTTTTTCTTCTTCTTCTTCTTCTTTTTTCATCTCTTCTTCTAGTTTTTTTCTTACAAGTCTTCTTCATCTTCTTTAATCTCCATTTTCTTCGTTGAAGTATTTTCTTCTTTCATATTATCTTCTTCTTTCATCTTTTCGTCCTTTTCTTCTTCTTCTTCTTCTTCTTCTTCTTCTTCTTCTTCTTTCATCTCTTCTTCTACTTTTTCTTCTTCTTCTTCTTTCATCTCTCCTTCTACTTTTTCTTCTTTCAAGTCTACTTCATCTTCTTTAATCTCCATTTTCTTCGTTGAAGTATTTTCTTCTTTCATATTATCTTCTTCTTTCATCTTTTCGTCCTTTTCTTCTTCTTCTTCTTCTTCTTCTTTCATCTCTCCTTCTACTTTTTCTTCTTCTTCTTACATCTCTCCTACTTTTTCTTCTTCTTCTTTCATCTCTCCTACTTTTCTTCTTCTTCTTCTTCTTCTTCTTCTTCTTCTTCTTCTTTCATCTCTTCTTCTACTTTTTCTTCTTCTTCTTCTTTCATCTCTCCTTCTACTTTTTCTTCTTTCAAGTCTACTTCATCTTCTTTAATCTACATTTTTTTTCGTTGATGTGTTTTCTTCTTTCATATTATCTTCTTCTTTCATCTTTTCGTCCTTTTCTTCTTCTTCATCTTCTTTTTTCAACTCTCCTACTTTTTCTTCTTCTTCTTCTTTCATCTCTCCTTCTGTCTTTTCTTGTTTCAAGTCTTCATCTTCTTTAATCTCCATTTTCTTCTTTGAAATATTTTCTTCTTTCATATTATCATCTTTTCGTCCTTTTCTTCTTTCGTGTATTCTTCTTCTTCTTCTTCTTCTTCTTGTAGTTGTTGTTCTTCTTCTTCCTTCAAGTCTCCTTCTTCTTTGGAGTCTTTGTCTTTTTCTTTTGAGGCTAAAACACGTTGAAACACCGGTTCACACACGATCACCGAATATAAACAACGTCAAGCCTGGTCTCTACCTAAATGAGTGACCGCCGTGCCGGTGTTGTTTATCAGAGAGCAGAGTTCCAATGGGTTCGTTATATTTAATTATGCATAAATAATCTAGAAGGAAGTATAAATCCATCTCTTTTGCCCCAGCTATGGGTTAATTAGTAAGATTGTATCACTATACAATTATTATCCCCCGTCGTAAAATTCTTACAATCTAAAAATATTTTCTAGTTTTAAATAACCTGCCAAGGGTTGATAAACAGTAGAAAAACGAATAAAAAACAAATCAGTCAGACCAGTTCTTTCCATCTTTGTCCTTCCTCGCATCGCTTGGTATTCTCCATATTTCATATTATCTGTCCCTTTCATTCACTAGTTTGTATCATTTTTCTCTTGTTTTTTCTTTAATTACTCTTCTTCATTGATTTTTAATTTCTTCTTCTCTGAATTCTTTTTTTGCTTTCATTCTACCAGTTTCTTCTACATTTAATCTTCATTTCTTTTCCATCTGTCAATTCTTCTTCATCACTTCTTTTTCACTTTCATTTTCTTCTTCATCAGTTTCATTTTACCATTTTTTTATCATTTACGCATCATTTCTTCTTTCACTTTCATTCTATCAGTTTATTCTTCATTTATACTTTATTTCTTCTTGTTTTTGTTCTTCTACTTTTTCTTCTTCTTCATCTTCTTTTTCTTGTACTTCTTCTTCTTTTAATTATTCGTTCACTTTCAATTTGCCAGTCTCTTCTTCATTTATTGCCCATTTTCTTTTTTTCCACTCTTTCATATTTTCTCTTTAACCGACTTGACTTTCTTTGTTTCTCTTTCATTTTTTTCTGTCTTCTTTTAATATTTTCTAAATTATCATTCTTTTATTATTTTTTTAAAGTTTTCTTCTTCCTTTCAATGCTTCTTTGTATTTTCCTGGTTTTTTCCGCCTGTATTTTACTTTCTTCCTTTTGAATTCTTTCTCTGTCACCTTTTCTCATAATTCTTTTTCTTTAAAATATTTCCTTCTTCTTTCAATAGACGCTTATATATATATATATATATATATATATATATATATATATATATATATATATATATGAATCATAAATTTATTCTATTTTAACTCGTTTTATTATTTCATTTTTTAGGTTTTATTTTCTTTTTCTTTCGTATTTATCCCACATCTTCTTCACTTAATACATTTTACTTTTAAATTTTCGAATTTTCCTTCATTGGAAGGGCGCGCCTTTTTTTTTGTTTTCCTTTGTTTTATACATTTTTTCTTGCGTTTTTTCCCTATTTCCAGTGTTTTCCTTTTCTGTTTCTTTTTTCGTTTCTCTCTCTCTCTCTCTCTCTCTTTCTCTCTATCTATCTAACTTTCGCTCTCGCTCTCTTATTCCAATTTTCTTTGAGATATGCATCTTTCTTCATCTAATTTTTTATTTTTATTTTTCCCTCTTTTATATTTTTTATTATTAGTTTTCTTTTCGAATTCTCTCTTTAAAATTATCTTTTTTTAAAGGTTTTCTTTCTTCGTTCAATTCTTTCTTTTTTCTTCAATTTCTTTTTCTTTCAGTTTCTCCTAATTCTTTTTCTCTTTTAAAGTTTTTCTTCTTCACCTTCTTTAAAGTTACCTAATCTTTTTCCTTCTTCTTTTCGAATTCAGTTTCTCCCACTTCTACCACTTATTTCAACTCTCTCTTCTTTCATGACTTCTTCTTTCAAGTTTTCTTCTTCTCCTCCTCCTCCTATTCTTCTTTAAAGTTAACTCGTCTTTTTCTTCTTATAGATTTCAGTTCATCTTGGTCCTTTCCTTCAAGTTTTTTCCTATTCTTTC